GGTGCAGGCGTCATCGTTGGCTTGTCTCGCTGTATCCATTTCTGGAGCTCGGTGACGTTCACGCGCCTCTCATTGTTTGTCATTGCGATTGTGTCCGCGTAATCCCATCTCGAAGTGACCATATGTGGTCCTTCCCACTTTGGAAACTGTTTGCCTGACCCTGTCGAACATTCGTCAGTATTTCGTCTCACACTTTCATATGCTGCTTTCACCCGACCTCCCAGCAGCGTCCCAAGTAACAGCTCCATCGCTGACAGATCTTGAACGCCACTCAACTGCACAGAAGCCTTGAAGTCCTGCCCGAAGATCCATATGTCTCCATCAAAAACAGCAGGGCATAGGCTTTCCATTTGTCGGTAGGCAGCGACACCAAATGTAACAACAGAAGACAAGGGCCAGGCAACAGATCGTTTTATTATGAAAATCAACACGTATTTATACATATTTCAACTACATTATTATAGACAAGCGCAGTCATCTGATTGGTTGTTTATCAGAAGTTAGGTAGACAAACGCAGGCTTCTGATTGGTTGTTTCGGGATTCCTTGACAAATAGAGTTCTCTATCTGCGAATCATATTTTGCCACGTTAACTTTGCTGTGATTGGTTGTTGACTCAGCCTTGTTCATATTTTCTCACGGCCCATATTAGTGACCTAGACCTTAACGTAGATTAGTGCCAACCAATCGGCTAGCAGCCTGCTCTCACCACACTCGTCCCCCCGTCAAATACGTGCGACTGAAGTCGGCTTGATCTACTTGGTGCAGGCGTCATCGTTGGCTTGTCTCGCTGTATCCATTTCTGGAGCTCGGTGACGTTCACGCGCCTCTCATTGTTTGTCATTGCGATTGTGTCCGCGTAATCCCATCTCGAAGTGACCATATGTGGTCCTTCCCACTTTGGAAACTGTTTGCCTGACCCTGTCGAACATTCGTCAGTATTTCGTCTCACACTTTCATATGCTGCTTTCACCCGACCTCCCAGCAGCGTCCCAAGTAACAGCTCCATCGCTGACAGATCTTGAACGCCACTCAACTGCACAGAAGCCTTGAAGTCCTGCCCGAAGATCCATATGTCTCCATCAAAAACAGCAGGGCATAGGCTTTCCATTTGTCGGTAGGCAGCGACACCAAATGTAACAACAGAAGACAAGGGCCAGGCAACAGATCGTTTTATTATGAAAATCAACACGTATTTATACATATTTCAACTACATTATTATAGACAAGCGCAGTCATCTGATTGGTTGTTTATCAGAAGTTAGGTAGACAAACGCAGGCTTCTGATTGGTTGTTTCGGGATTCCTTGACAAATAGAGTTCTCTATCTGCGAATCATATTTTGCCACGTTAACTTTGCTGTGATTGGTTGTTGACTCAGCCTTGTTCATATTTTCTCACGGCCCATATTAGTGACCTAGACCTTAACGTAGATTAGTGCCAACCAATCGGCTAGCAGCCTGCTCTCACCATATATATATATATATATATATATATATATATATATATATATATATAGCAGCTAACAATGGACCTAGAGGGCTTCCCATAGCAACACCATCGATCTAGCGATAATGCTCGCCCTCGAGTGTAAACTTAACATTGTTAGTACAAAGTAGTAACTCTTTTAAGTAAGATGTGGGTACTGGTAATAGGGATGAAGTCACATAAAATGTCAACCGTCTGTAAAAGAGGTACATTTGTAAATAAAGATACAACATCTAGGGAAAACATGGTTTTGCCCTTTTTATCAACGTTGTCAAGATAATCAGTTAACTCAAAAGTGTCTTTCAATGAGAACTTACAGAAACTTCTAATAGGGTCTGGTATTTCCACTAGCCACTGTGCAAGTTTGTCGGTTGGAGATCTGCACAGTGACCTTATGGGACGTAGAGGAATGTTAGGTTTATGTGTTTTGGGCAGACCATACATGTGTGGTAATTGAGACTGCGTGGGCTTTAGTGAGTTGAATTTATCTCTGTTAATTGCGTTCATATTTAAGAGTTTTACTGCATTATTTTTCACCATATTTTGTACATTCTTTACATCCTCAAGATCGGAGTCTCTCATAAATTTATCATTGTTTACAGGAATGCATAACATTTTACTTTTATATTCAATTTTGTCCATTATAACTACTACAGACCCTTTATCTGGTCTGAGGATAACGATATCAGTATTATGTTTGAGTTCTTTTGGCGCTTTAAAGTGCTCAGATGTTAGGATACTTTTCTGAAATGTACGACTATTGCGAAATTGGTGAGCAATGTCCACTAACTTTGATTTGAACCAACTGTGATGATCATCAGAAACGGGATTAAGAGGCTTCAACTGGTCATGTAGATTTTCAAATTGTGCGTGTACTTCGAATTCTGAGAAATACTTTTGAGGAACGCAAAGCTTAGGTCCAAGTGATAAGGCTTGTTCCTGTAGTGATGAAAATGTTATAGAAGATATGTTTACAACGTATTTCTCTGGATTGACAGGGAAAAGAGTTACAAGTTTATTGTCATTAAGTGATTTGTCTAGCTTCTTACGCATGTTTGCTCTTGTTTTACCAGCGAGGGATGCACAGAAGGCAATGAATTTCATGTGACATATTAAAGTTAATTCCGAAAAAACAGATGAAGCAAATGTATGAATCAATAGTAATTTTTGCAGCTTTTCTTCTGCTTTTTCAATATGCGACTTGGCAAGGCGAATAAGGTTGGAATTATTTGGTTGCAGTTTACTTGATTTCAAAGTTTTATAGAAATGTCTTGGATAGGTATGATTAGAAATACCTTGGATAGCACTACATGCAATGACACACAGACATACAATAGGATGGGATGGGATGACAGTTTTAAAATCTAAGGTCACAGGGTATAGGGAAAGATTGATAACAGAAGCTTTGTTTATCGAATCAACTGCAAATACATTCTCGAAATATTACCAATAACAAAACTTATCATTGTGTGTAAACTATTGAAATATAATTATACTTTATTTGATCTAATCCACAATGCTCAAACTTTTTACTGACATGTAATAGGAATGATTCAACACCGGCCCAGATATCTGGAAAATTCTACTACCCCTACGACAGATAGGAGAAGACAAAGAAAACTATAAAACTCACGTTTCAAACTCCTGTGATTGCAATTGATATGATTATGAACAATAAATTTTATTCGAAACGTCATCCAGTAAATGATACTGTTTCACTGTGTGATGCATCTAATAAACAAACTAATATGGAATGACTCAGTCTAACTGTCAACAACTGGGATTTTAATTTCGGATACAAAATAAATGGACTAATAAGTGGTTGATTAGGTGTGTGAATTTTAAAAAATATTTCCAACTGTTGATGTGATCACGGGCAGTAATTCTGCTCGAAAATAGTACTAAAATCAAACTGCAAAAACAACCTTTGAAATATAGAAGCAACTTAGTAGAAGTCTCCTGTGTAATGGAAAATAGATCAGACTTATTTCCTTTCTGATTTGTTAACAAGTGCTTCATTGTTAAATAAGGTTTTCTTATCAGTATGCATTTAAACAGAAACGAAGGTATGCCGTTTAAATTGTGTTATCTTCCGTAAATTCAACTGCGTTGTCGACAAATTTTAAAAGATGTAGCTACAGCTGAAGCACAGCTATATTACTCACTATCTTATGAAAACTGTAATGAATTACTGCGTGCATAACTAATTGTTCGCATGAAGTAAGTGTAAATTTTGAGTGAATATTTAACCTCATTAGCGCAATATTTTCCTGATTATTTCTGCCCGAAAAAGTAATTTGTGTTCTTCCTACTCATGTATCAACTAACCTTTATCACGGCTATCCCCTCTTTCTTTACAACAGTGAGACGTGGCCTTTGAAAGTAGGAGTTATGAAGAGGCTAGGCATATTTGATCGTAGATGCCTACTTCTTTCTCTCACGTTAGATAGCATTACATGTTAGGCAGAGTATCGGGTAAGGAGGGAAAGTCAGTCGATGAGGTTGTGAAGCTGGATCGAATTAGATGGCCAGGATACGTATCACGCGTACTAGGCCATTATCTCCCTCATCTAGCAGTGTTAGCTAACATGGAATTACGTAAGAGAGGAGTTAGGAATGGTCGAACCCAAAGTGGACATTAATCCATGAAGTCTCTGACTGTTACTTTGACACACATAGAGAAGTATAGACTGTCCTGTTGAGGTCTTCGTGGTTCTAAGAACCAAAAGCTTGTGAATGTTGGTTATATCGCTCTCAGTAGCGCAGATGCGTTTGTTCCTTGTGAATTCAGATCTATTAAATCGTCATCATTTCCCATTCATTTATTCTTTTCCCGTAAATTTCAGTATATTGTGATTTCTTTGAATTTCTTCCTTCTACCGTCATCTGTGATTTATAAAATGTGGCAACTTGAACTACTGTTTACTAGTGCAACGTTTTTAGTTCTACGCAACACATTCAAAACAACACATTATATATATATATATATATATATGTATATAATTATTGATTCATTTTAAATACTTTCTTTGAATTAAACGCTTTTACAAAAACCTCACGCAGTTTCTTTTGAAATTTCCAAAACCTTTTGGTCAGCTTTCCATTTGAATACCGGTTATATTACTCATATTTTTGATGTATTTCATTTGCTCCAAGTTAATGACCATAAAACTAACCATCACAAGTCCTGTATACTAACAAAAAGGTGAACTAAGTTTATCTGTGATCATTAATCAGTTGTTGAATGCAGAACTCAGGTTTCGTCAGCTGAATGTCGCTTTACCTCCAATGAGTGGTGGTTTTCTTACTGGCATTTCATTTCAGCACTTATCTTCACAAACACTATATAGGAAAAAATAATCTACAATCAGCTTTAACGTGTTCTTTCATTTTCACCGACTTTCGCTGCAGTATATCTTGTTACAATTATCTTACTGATATACGTATGTTAAGATTATTTAAGTATGTTTGAAATTTGTGTATGTTTTGATTTTTCTTCTCATTTACCCTGCAGTTCATGATTTCCTGTTGGCAAGCATATTATTCAGTTTACTTCTAGGTAAGTTTATAACCTCATAGATGGATAATCCTTTTCGATAAATTCCTCTTCTGGCTCTACAATTATATATATATATATATATATGTACAGACATAGAATGTTCTAGATTAGTAGTCAATAACAATATTAGTGTTTTTTAAATAATATCGATTTGTAAAGTGAGATCATTGCAATTATAGTTTATTCAAGATGCTTAAATTATAATAGTAGCAAAGATATAGGAGCGAATAGAATATCAACTAAAATTAGGAAAATTCCACAAAATTCAGGATCATTCAAACCTAGATGACTAAGGTAAGGATAATGTCTGAACTAACTTCTTTTGGATGTACAAATTAGGCTTGTTAACATGGATCCCAACAGCTTCAGCAATATTTAGTAGTCGAATTCTTAAGGCGAAATTGAGATTCGTTGGTATGCGGTAAATGACCCTGAAAGCATCGTTAACGTCAATGTTGTGTTCTGTATCCACAAGATGAGATAGAATAGCGCTGCGAATAAATTTTGTCTGTCGTTTGCTTAACCACGCGGGGTGATGTTCGGAAATTCGACGAGAAACTGGCTCGACAGGAGCAGTTAAATTGGTAGATACACATAGAAGAGGTGAAATTAGGCAGTTTGTCTTTTACTCCCGAACGCAAGAGAGGAGTGGTTTCGAAGACACCGCGTAATTCGGCAGCAGGGAATGCTCTCTTTACGGCATTTCTAAGGCGCTGTGTTAGTATCTCGCTGATGTTGTCCCCAAGGAACTCCATTTATAAGAATAAGGCCTGTTAAGGACATGTTGGCATCCATGTTCATATTCTCATCAATAAACTTTTCTATATAACCATTTCCTCTCAGCAACCGCTTAATGTTATTTAGTTCCTCATTAAGACATACATGCGAGCAAATCGCTCTTGGTCTGTGTACCAAGAAATTTATCAGATTGCTTTTGTATTTCAAGGGCATGAAGCTGAGAAAATGAGTATACTGACCCGTTGATGCAGGTTTTCTATATACAATTCTTTCTACTGCGTTATCCTCCTTTCTGGTCATAAGGACGTCTACAAATGAAATACTAGTCTTTTTTATTACAGCGTGATTCTACACCGTAGTTTTGGTACAAGTATGGAATTTTCAGCATGGATATGGGTAGTCCAAATTTTGCAGGCCGACCGTAGATATCAGGTGGGTGTTGGCAGGGGATCGAACCCCGGACCATGTGCATGGTCGGCGAGAGTCCTAACCACTGTGCCACCGACGCAAAATGGTGAAATTCATTGCAGGATGAACTTCGTTAAATGTATCCAGGATGTTCTTTGCTTCCTCCTCATTTTTCATTGTCAAAAATGTATCATCGATGTACCAATAATAGAATTAAAGTTCATTAATGACATCCTTCAAAGTCCCATTTTCTGGTTTCGCAAAGAAAATTTCGGCTAGAATGGGTCCCTTGGTGACTCCATTGCCACAACGCTGATTTGTTTGTATAGCTCCTTATTAAATAAAAAAGTGGACATTCATTGTACATTTCAAGAAAAGCTCTTTCATAAAAGTTGCAGGGATGCCAACATGTCCTTAACAGGCCTTATTCTTATAAATGGAGTTCCTTGGGGACAACATCAGCGAGATACTAACACACCGCCTTAGAAATGCCGTAAAGAGAGCATTCCCTGCTGCCGAATTACGCGGTGTCTTCGAAACCACTCCTCTCTTGCGTTCGGGAGTAAAAGACAAACTGCCTAATTTCACCTCTTCTATGTGTATCTACCAACTTAACTGCTCCTGTCGAGCCAGTTTCTCGTCGAATTTCCGAACATCACCCCGCGTGGTTAAGCAAACGACAGACAAAATTTATTCGCAGCGCTATTCTATCTCATCTTGTGGATACAGAACACAACATTGACGTTAACGATGCTTTCAGGGTCATTTACCGCATACCAACGAATCTCAATTTCGCCTTAAGAATTCGACTACTAAATATTGCTGAAGCTGTTGGGATCCATGTTAACAAGCCTAATTTGTACATCCAAAAGAAGTTAGTTCAGACATTATCCTTACCTTAGTCATCTAGGTTTGAATGATCCTGAATTTTGTGGAATTTTCCTAATTTTAGTTGATATTCTATTCGCTCCTATATCTTTGCTACTATTATAATTTAAGCACCTTGAATAAACTATAATTGCAATGATCTCACTTTACAAATCGATATTATTTAAAAAACACTAATATTGTTATTGACTACTAATCTAGAACATTCTATGTCTGTTATATATATATATATATATTCATATATAAATATTCTTCTTAGTTTTTTAGGGCTCTAAACGCTGATGCTGTAGACCGTATAGAAGTTAATTTATTTACCACCCGATTTAATAATCATACCCGCTTTACTATAGTTAGTTAATTAGTCAATTACTGAGATACCAGTTACTCAGCTCACTACTGTGAACCACAGTTATTGTTTAATGAGTGATTACGTAACCTAGTTTCACTGACTGAAGTAGGTAAAACTAGATTCACACGCAAGAAATCCAGTATGCTGAAGACAATAAGCTATATCTTCAACTAAGATTGCGCACAATGGAAGCATATTATCTAGCTTTACATTTAGCAAAAAAAAACACATTACAAGAAACTGTGATGTACTCGTCGCTAAATTGTTGTTATGGTCTGGTCGAGAAACTAATAGTCACGACGCGAGAAGGCGGAAATCAGAAGACCACTAGGTTTGTGATGATACTTCTATTGTCCAAACACAAGGAGACGAAAATAAATGGTCTCACACCAAAATGGTAAGTAAGTAAAGTAGTTCACACAAAATGTGTGAACGAAATATATATATAACAAAATATATATAGCAGACATGTCAAACTACCATATATGGATATATGTCACTAAGCAACGGACTGTCAACAAACACTCGTATTATATATAATATAATATAATATAAGGAGAATACACATTATTAAAGGAGACAAGTTCATACAAGTGAAATGGTCACAGACTAAGCGAGCAAACAGAAAGAGACCAACATACACACACATAAATATATATATATATATGTGGTTACACATCAGAAACGCACAAACATATGTGTCATGGGATGTTAAACATAATATTTAATGTATTTCACTTAAAATATTTTGTTTTTATATAACAATTGTTATATGTTTGCATTTGTGATAGGTCACATGCTATATACTGAACAGTGTAATATTAGTAAGTTGAAAGTTTTGTCTACCGCTTTTTCATCTGTTTGTCTCTCTCCACTAAGTTATCTTCTCTCTGATCACTAAATGAGGTGTATCTGTGTTTGTTATTATTTTGAAAATGAATAAATTCGACAGTGAAGACTATTCTTTGTTGATATTTTGGTCTTAGACTAAGTCATTTTTATTGTGTACAGGGATGCAAATGTAGTTGTAGTTAGTAATAATAATAATAACAATGAAGAGCCAATTCTTTGTCATTTTGGGGCTGTGACTCACTGATCTAATCACTGTACGCGTAAGGTGTTCTAATCCCGCTCCACCCATCAAAGATTAGGCAGTCGAATAATGTCACTAACTTGCATGGAATAGTTGTGGCTCGTTCTAGTAGCCTCCTTGAATCACTGGGCTACCGAAATTGCTTTCCATCAAAATGCTTGATTTCACCTGGATTTATCATTGTTTTAATCGTCTAGTTTAACCAAATGACCTGTACATGAACTTGCGCGTTTTTTTAACTTACCTTTAACGAAATGAAGATATGCTTCAGATCATTGCTTAACGTGTAAATCCTTTATGAGGAAGAAATACGTTAAAAATTTTGTACCATATGTTCGCATTTTGTTTGAAACAAAGCTTTATTACTACTTACCAACTTACTCGCTTCTTTGACTGTTATTTATTCACCTTAACGAAAGTATATCCAGTTATTCATTCTATGTGAACAGATTATGTCAATTCATGTTATTGTATAAGCCCTTAAAATGAATATCTCGTATTCTCTTCAGATATCATTCGAATGTAATTTGCTTGTTGTTGGTTACCAGGGCATTTCGTTGCATTTGAACTTGCCAGATAGATATAACTGAACACTAGTCAATTATCACATTCCAACTAAAAGTACAATTCAGCATTATCAAGCAAATATACATTAGAACGAACCTAAAGCCAATTTCAAGGTTTCAGGAATAAAATTTCAAATACTAAAAGTGCTAGGGTGCGTACCTCAGATGAAAGATATTAGTGTAGTTGTTTTCCCTGAACTGAGTGGCTTGGTCGCGTAGTTTTGATAGCCATTCTAGATAAGATCGCTTCGGTGCTGACATTAATATGAAGTGAGCTTGTAGATGTCCCCATCAGCTTCACAGTCGTATATCCTGGTGAAATTGAAAGTGATCTCTTCTTTCTGCAGGTTTCTTTACCCTCTTGTCACTTTGTATTAGTATTGTTGATTTTGCTGATCTGAATTCGAGAGAACAATCCTAATCTTTGCATACAAAAGAATATTCTACCTTTGTCTCTCCCCTGGCCTAGGTAAATTCTAATCAAAACCCTCCCCCTTTTTCTTAATTTCCACTTCCTTCGTACTTTTATGATACTTATTTAAACTCTAATTATCTGTCCACTTCACCTTTAATATTACATGCCTCTTGAGATTTGACTGAATTTATTTATTGAATTGTCTACTAACTTCGCTATTCTTATTGCCACCTGCATAAACCTTATCACCATTATTTTTGTTATCATTATAATCATTGTTATTACAGACGTTCAAAACATTTACCACATTACTATTATTATTTGACCTACAAAATCATCGTCATTGGTTAAAGTTTTTATATATGAATCCATATAAATTACGTTAAAGGTTGAAGATCGAATTGGAAACCATATTCAAGTGCAGGTTTGTAGGGATTTGATTGGTTTCAGGATTTCATCATGAGCTGACATTAGTTAGAGAAGCATTGGAAAACCTGGGAGTACTGGACAGCTGTTTCGTCCTAGTTTGACACTCTTCAGCAGTACGCGCCCACCGGGATTCGAACCCAGGACCTCTCGGTTACAAGGCGAGCTTGTATACCATTAAGCCACTGGGACCCAATACCAATGAGATGCTCACCGGTGACTGGCCCTATTCAGGTAGGTAGCTACCTGGGTTCCAGTGGGAAGTCGTGACCAGTAGGGTGCAGCCGGTCGGGTGTGAGGACAAATATTCGCCGAAGACATTGGCTAGCGGTTGCGCTATGTCGTGAATTGGCAGAAGTTAGAATTCAAGGACCATTGGATCGGGTCCCAGTGGCTTAATGGTATACAGGCTCGCCTTGTAACCGGAAGGTCCTGGGTTCGAATCCCGGTGGGTGCGTACTGCTGAAGAGTCCCAAACTGGGACGAAAAAGCTGTCCAGTACTCCCAGGTTTTCCAATGGTTCTCTAAATAATGTCAACTCATGATGAAATCCTAAAAACAATATTGTTTTCAACTGATATTTGTTCTAAATTCATATTTCATAAATGTGATCTACGTTAACGTATCTCTAATGTCAGTGAAAAGTTTTTGCACTGTGTAATAGATCGAATTAGTCTATAATTATATTTCAATAAGATTATAAGTTTCCAGACTGTAGATTTTACCGATTTCCCGGAATAATTTGAGCGCCGAGTCAGATTGAATCATTAGAAATTATTTGAAATAATCCAGCATGTTTAAGAAAAAATCTTATTTTGATATTAAATAAATTATATACTCCAATAGTCTATACACAATTTAACTGCTCCTGTCGAGCCAGTTTCTCGTCGAATTTCCGAACATCACCCCGCGTGGTTAAGCAAACGACAGACAAAATTTATTCGCAGCGCTATTCTATCTCATCTTGTGGATACAGAACACAACATTGACGTTAACGATGCTTTCAGGGTCATTTACCGCATACCAACGAATCTCAATTTCGCCTTAAGAATTCGACTACTAAATATTGCTGAAGCTGTTGGGATCCATGTTAACAAGCCTAATTTGTACATCCAAAAGAAGTTAGTTCAGACATTATCCTTACCTTAGTCATCTAGGTTTGAATGATCCTGAATTTTGTGGAATTTTCCTAATTTTAGTTGATATTCTATTCGCTCCTATATCTTTGCTACTATTATAATTTAAGCACCTTGAATAAACTATAATTGCAATGATCTCACTTTACAAATCGATATTATTTAAAAAACACTAATATTGTTATTGACTACTAATCTAGAACATTCTATGTCTGTATATATATATATATATATATATATATATATATATATTACTAGACGAACGTCCTGTGTACCTATCTCCGCAAGAACGGGTTAACGTATAAATACATTTGGAAATAGACAATCGTGGTGACATTTCCTTGAAATTGAGGTGCACCAGTGGATGGCCATAGGAGGTTATTCGTAAAGTGGCAACAAAGAACGTTTGTCTCAGTGATCTTTTCTGATGATTTTGAGGTATTTCACTGGCAGTGTCACCCCTAGTGTCTGAGTTTAGGTGCAATACATTTTAAACCACCTTATCAATATCTATAATCCTCTCACATACTTTTCTATAGGCCTCTACGAAGCGTGGTGGTGTCTTTTAGTTGGTTACCAACACCATCTTTACCACAAATTCTTCGCACCCGTGTCTTGATCTTCTCACGTTCAGGTTTCTGAAATTTTGTCTCATATGACAGGATGTTTTACATTTTATCAATATAATCTTTCATCCATTATTACAATCTCTGCACCTTTATCTGGTCGTGCTAGTAGAATGTTATCATTTTTCTTCAACTCCTTTAAATGAATGAAATATTCCTTCGTGAGATGCTGAAGCAATTTCGGCTTTGATTTCATGAACTGATGAGTGCAGTTGAGCACTGATGACTTGAAATGATTTAGGTCTTCTAGTGAATTCGCTGTCAGATCTTTTGTTTGATTGATTCGATTTTCAAACCGCACCTGATCATACAGTATCTTTTCATTCGATTGAGAGATACAGAATTTCGAGCCATATGGTAATATTTCCAACTGTGGACGACTCAAATTAATCCAGGGGTATTTAAATACATATTTTCAAGGCATTTCTGGAATTCCCACTTGATTTAGTCGGCTACAGTAGATTCTTCAATTTGAGATTGGCACTTTCGCATCTGCTTTTTATAAACACAGCACTATATTCTTCAAAATGTACACGATTATCAAGTGGAAGTTCGCTCAATACCTGTGCTCTCCGTGCAATGTTTCTTGCAAGGTGCAATGTTTGATGATGGGGGTCGCCAGGTCAAACAGTGTCTTTCCTTGTGTTTGAAGTTAATGCTTACAAGAAACAAATGATTATCAGAACAGAACTGTAGGAGACGGTCACCGTTGTCGGTTCGCTGGTACGGAACTCCATAGGTGCCACCGACATCCTTCTCAGATTGACACAATTTCCCTACTTGAGCTTTAAAGTCGCCGGCTAGAACGACTATATCTGAGCGTTTAGCCTTTCGCAGCAAACTAGACAGCTTTTGGTAGAACTCATCCTTCGTTTAATCTGAACTGCAGTCAGTGGGTGCGTAGACTGAGATTACGAAAAGGCATTGGCGAGTAGTGCAGTCCTTTCTCCTTTTTACTGATCCGTTAAGACGGACAGCACATTCGGCTATCTACCGGGATCCAGTCAAGTAATGTCTTTTCTGCCCTAGTACTCAAAGCTATCTCTACGCCAGCTAATCCTCGTGAACTAGCTGTGGTATCTCCTGATACCCTCAAGGTGAATTTTGCAGATTCAACCTGTTGGCCAGGTGGGGTTAGGTGGATAACCACACTTGGGTCTTGTATGCGTGTTTCTGAAACACAACATACATCAATGGCTCGGGATGCCAGAGTCTTGGCTAGTGAATCTTGTTGTCTTATTTGGCAAAGTGTCCTAACATTAAATTCTCCTATATGAAATTGTTGGCGTGGCTTCAGGAGACTATCGGTAGTGGTTTTTTGGCTTCCGTCGTTTTTAGTGGACAGAGTGAAGGGGAAGTGTAGAGCCATCAATTAGAGGAGTTGCATCAGTGGAAGGAAAGCAAGATGATAGAGATGAAGATGAAGACAAAGATGAGTGAGGACTAGAGAGGTTTCGTGTGCGTTTCGGATTGTGAGGGCGATTGTTGCTTCCCGGCTGCCCACACCGTGGAAGTTGGTTGCGTGACCGCAGATTCCAGGGACAACTGCTTGAGGCCGGTCACACGCGACCTGTTTTTGTTTGTTCTGTTTTGTTTGGTGTGTCTCAGTAGCATATGTATCACTTCTGCCCTGTGACACAGCAGCAGTAAGCGCGGTCGTTGTTAATCGAGGCCCCGACCGATCCGGCATGATACTTTGTGATATTGTTTGAATCATGGTGTTGGATTGGGTAGCTGCTTTTTGTTTTAACCGCTATCCAAACAACCTTTCTGGCATGGTAGGACCTCAAGAGACATAAGTCTCAGCCAGTATAGCTTGCTGGGTCATTGCGGTGTTCAAGCCCGACCACCACGTCAAGGTAGCAGCTTTCGGTCGGGGTGTGACGTATAGACTCGTTGAGGTACGTAACCACCTTGGTGTCTTTGCTCTTTTTAACTAAATTATTAATCCGCATTGAGACATATCCTGAAACTTCTGAAATATCTTTGTTAAGCATATTTTATCCATTATTACAATATTATTTACCAGGTTTCGATAGCTTGCTCACTGAGCATTCCAATGTTATTGGTTTGACCTCGCTCCACTGGCACTTACTGGTGCCTAAAGTTTAACTTGGCCGGTAATTGTTTTGAGTCACATTTTGAGTAAGATATGTCTTTTCGCTGGTCATCTGGTGTTGTAAGCCTACGTATCCTGTCTACAAGACCATGTACTAACTCTCTTTTTACCATTAGTGGATGAGCTGAATGATAATCAAGGAATCTCCCAGAATACGTAGCTTCTCTATATGTCGTCATTTTTATTTAGCCATCTGTTACTCTATGTACTTTCCAGTTTAACATAGGGGGTTCTCCAATGTCATTCTCTATTTCCATATTGAATTTTATTGAGTCTACGGGAATGTTTATGTGTGAGATGAATTTTCAATATCATTCTTTTTCATTATTACTAACGTGTCATTTACATATCTCCACCAACATTTTATTGATGACCTGAGTGGCTTAAGTGCAGTCTCTTCCCAAAAATCTATGAATATGTCAGCTATTATTGGTGAGATGGACGATCCCATGGCTACTCCTTCATTTTGTTGGTATATTTTTCCTTCAAATGTAAAGTATGTTGTTGTCAGACAGAATTCAACCCCTTTTATTATCTCTTCTACGGATAAGTGTGTCCTGTCCTTTAGGCCATCATCTTCTAGTTTTGTTTTTTGTGCATTCATGGCCATTTAAGTGGGTATTTTAGTACAGAGACTGTTTACATTAAAGCTGACTAGTATTCCCTCTTTGTCTAGTTTAGTATTTTTAGTTATCGCACTAATTCAAATGAATCTACTATTCCAGCTTTTGAACTGTTTCTTGTTGGCCTTAGTATTGTTGAGAAATCTTGACAGCTTATACGTCGGTGTGTTTCTAAAATCTGCAATCGATCTTATCGGATATCCTTTTGTTTGCAATTTTATCTTGCCATATGTCCTAGGCATATTACATGATTTCGGCACAATTTCCAAACATTTTGACCTAATTATTTCTTTCATCTGTCTAACCACTTTTTCTATCTCTTTCGTCGTTTTATTTGTGATCGTTTCTGATGATTTGGTCACTAGGGTATGGGGTCCGGATTGTAAATGTTCGTTCACTTATTTTTTCCCCCGTATATGTTGTTTCGTTAAGTATTACTGTTTCATTTGTCCGACTGAGTGGTCACAATAGATTTATGTGTTTTTATGTCTTTAAGTACTTTTAGTTCTTCCGACGTTATATTTAGTTTTTCTGCTTATTGTTTTTTCGATGATAATGCTTATTTCGCCAGTACCAGTTTTGACTTTTGTTTGCCACATCCTCCCAGAGATATTTTAGTCACCGGTATAACATCTTCAGGTTTTAACCTTTTGCTACTAATATTGAATTTCATTCCTTTCATTAGTATGCTTTTCTCTGCTTCTGTTAGCTTTCTGTTTGACATGTTTACAATCCAACTGGTTTTTGTTACTTGTATTTCATTTGTGTTTTTGCGATCATTAGTTTATTAAATTTTTTAATTTACCAAGAAATATATGAAAGCATACTAGAAGTTGCGCTAAAATGAAAAGAAACTACCTATGCACTGAAGGAAAATAGGCTATTGGAAGTGATAAACAGAAGTAGCTGATACCTGTCACACGAAACGTAGCCTTCACCAGCTAGCGACTTAGGGCTCCAAATGATGGGCTGGGATTGTTAATGAACTATTGATTGTCTGCTTAATCTACTTTACTTATATTGTACATAAGTATAATTGTGACTCTTATGATTGAGAATCTTCCCAATTTTGTTTTAGAGCTGGTTATTGAAGCAAAACAAATTGAGGAGTATGAGACTGAGCGCATTCAACTATTGACAAGTAATTTATACGAATTTGATTTGTTTCGCTTTTCATTTCATTTTCCACTTTTTACTCAGTAATATTAACTGATGATGACTTGATATGAATATGAGCAATAGTTTGTGCTTGAAACTTCATGAGTTAATATTACTGTGTAACACTGTGATTCATCAAAATAAAATCTTATCTATAATAGAGACAGTTAACAGAAATATAAGACAAAAAGAATAGTAATATGGAAGAACAATAGAATTTTATTGGATATTATAAGTCACATCGAGTGGATGCATCTGCGCTATTGAGAACGATTTTGAGCCATATCACAAATTGTCTCCAGCCATTGGCTTTTACCATCCTGATGACCCCAACGAAGAAGTGTACATCTCCCTACATGGCTGGCTTAAACTAACTATTGTGGATTTCATTGGCTGATGTCATGTTTTCGTTTGACCAGCACTAGCTCTTTTCCAAACTGATCCATCCTGTGTCAGCTAACATTGCCCGTCAAGGAAGGCGATGGCTAGGCATACGTAACACATGTCCTAACCATCTCAGTCGATGTAACTTCACAGACTCGTCGATTGATTTCCCCTGTTTACCTAGTGCTCGACTCCTAAGCTCAATATTGCTCACCCTATTATACCACTTAACACGGGAGATAGAACGCAGGCACCTATGACCAAACACAGCTAGCTAGCCTATTCATGTCTTCCACTCTCGATGACCAGGTCTCACAGCCTTAAAGGAGGTCGGAGCGGACTTCTGAGCAGTACACACGCCCTTTGGTTGGTAGCCGGATATCAGGTCTACGCCGGAGATGGCGTAAACTGACATATGCGAAACTAGCCCTCTGCATCCCTGTTGAGATTTCGTCAGCGATCAACCCGTTGGTACTGGCTGATGAAACTCCCCAAATAAGTGAAGTGGTCAACACGCTCTACCACTTCACTCCCTATCTCTAAGCTAGGAGTCAATTTTGTCCTGTCCTGTAGCCTAATCATCTTACATTTGACTGACATGAGCGAGTTGCATGTCGAACATTCTCAGATTGTAGCTCAAGGTGTTGAGAAGACTCTGCTTTATTTTGTCAGCGTCTTCACCTAGAAGGACTATATCATCTGGATATTCTAAGTCAACGAGATTATTCCATGGTAATTAGCTGATGCCTTTTCCATCGCGTTTGTCGCCCACCACTGTTCACAGTCGTCGCGAATGCTTCTCAATTTGCTTTTGGGCAGCTTTCGCTTCTCATCATATTCGGAGCTTGCCGGAATCAATCTTCTTGTTTTAATCAGCTCGATGAGGTGGTAGAAATCCAATGGCTCTTACGAACCTTTGGTTTCAGGTTATTAACAGCCTTTACAGCTGTGTCTACAGCTAACTGTATGTTGTGCCAGCCAACCTCATGTGAAGTCCTGCTGTCGACCTCAGATACTCGTTTCGCTATTTCTTCCTTACATACGGATTTGGTGTCTTGATCTAGTTGGGGACGTAACTGTTTCGCTGCCAACAATTTATTAAGTCTGTTTAGTTGTAAGCATAAACGTGCGCGGACCAGAGCGTGATAGGAGTTTACACACGTGTTCCAGATGAAGCGACAGTCTTCTACTGACCCTCGCCAACGATACCCTATTGCTATGTGGTTTATTTGAGTCCGACGTTGATTTGGTGATGGAGATCGTCAGGTTAGGCAATGTCTCTTTTTATAATAATACGTTGATAAATATATTAGCATTAAATAGCGAAATGTCAGTGAAAACAATATCGTTTTGTTTTTCATTCATTGGGAAATACAAAAACTTTATTAGAATGAATGTCTCTTTTTGCCTAAATTTAGTACTGACCAGGGAAAGATGGATTATCTGTGCAGAACTGTTTAAGACGATCACAATTGTCCGTTCGTCGGCGTTGAACTCGATACGTACCACCTACATACTTCTCAGTCTGGTATAACTTCCCTACTTGGGCATTAAAGTGGTCTGCTAAAACAACCATATCTGAGCGTTTTGCTTTTTTGTTGTAGTTATTTGTAATAGTAGTATTAGTATTTCACGATGACCGAATTACAAGAATTCAACCAAAACACGGAGAGGGTTGAATTTAGGAATTTGTATTTCGCGGGATTATTATTCAATTCATATAAGACATATATTAACAAGCAACAGGTAAGTATTTAAACAATTCAGAGATAGAAATTGTCAATCACCACATTTTCGCAGCAAACTAGGCAGTGGTAGAAACCATCCTTTAGATCATCTGAAATGCAGTGGGTTGGGGCGTTAGCGGAGACTATGAAAAGACAACTATGCGTAACGCCGTCCTTCTTCTAACGGACCCGTTCAGACGGACTGCACAAATACGACTATCCACTGAGATCCAGCCGAGAAGTGATTTTTCTGCGCTAACACTCAATTCTATCCCTACACCTGCAAGTCCTTGTGAACTAGCTGAGGTGTCTCCTGACAGCCTTAGGGTGAATTTTGCAGATTCACTTTGTTGGCCGGGTGAGATTAAGTGAATGATCACACTTGGGTCTTGTACGCGTGTCCCCGAAATACAATATACATCCATGGCTCGAGATGACAGAGTTCTGGCTAGTGTTGCCTGCTGTCTCATTTGACAGAGGGTCCTGACGTTGAAAGCTCCTATATGAAGTTGGCGACGTGGTTTTAAGAGGTTGTCGGGAGTGTTTCTATGGCTCTCATCGTTGTTTGTGGTCACAGAGTGAAGTGAAGATGACTCACTAGTTTGAAGAATAGTACTGACTGTAGTAGAGGGGAAAGATGGTGAGGATGACGATCAGGAGGGTTTTATGTGCTTTCTGAGTGTGTGGGTGGTTGTTACTTCCCGGCTGCTCACACCGTGAAAGTTGATTTATTCTTGGGGTACCTGAAATAAAAAGGGGGTTAGTGTTGCGTAACCTCAGAGCCCAGGAGACAACTTCTCGAGGCCAGTTATACACGGCTTGTATGAACTTTTTCCTTGGATTGGTTCCGTATTAGTAAATTTACCGCCAGTTACGGACCACCATAGGGTTTGTCGGGATGTACAATTTTGGGGTCGATTTTTTCAACCCACTCTCCAGATTGCAGAGACAGCATCCTAGTCATCTGAAGAAAACATCTCACTGCTGTTACATCCCCATTACCCAGCAGTACAACTTCTCCCACAGACACCCAGCATAGTGTAAAAAAGTCTTACACTATGCCGGTAACGGCTTTTAGTCTAATTGCTATCCTAACAATCTTCCTGATATGGTAGGACCTGCAGGAACATTATCTCCCGTCAGTGTAGCTTGTTGGGTCATTGGGACATGGAAGCCCGACCACCACGTAAAGGTAGCAGCTGTTGCTTGGGTCAAGATAACCAGCTATCGGTCGGGGACTATCAGAGTGAAGTAGACATATGTACCATTAATAATCAAACAGATTAATTTAGCAGGTAGAAGCTCATATGTACCTATATGCCAAAGCACTCAATTAGTAGAAACTGAACGAAGATTGCATCGTAGTCGAATGGTACTTCCAGAAGTTAGCATGTATGGCTTTTTCTCAGTTTAATTAGTATGATTTCGCTGGAAAACACAATGATTCATGATGAGTGATCTATATGCTATAGGTTACCTGTTTACATACTGACATAGAGGCCTTTTGGGTTTTAATAAGAGGCACGAATCATTAAGATTCTGTCTGTCTGGATTCAACATACAACTTGGCACCGAAGTGCAGCAGTTCGAGTTGTCACGTTCCTAATAGCACACAAAGATAGACAAGAAGATAATCAACTGAATTCGGTTGGGTGTCCATTACTTCGTATAGCCTTTCTGCAGTTAAAGGAATGTGCTAAGTCGCCGCATGTTCATCATAACTTTTAGTTGTGTGCTTTTTCAAAGTGTTCAATGCGACATTGCAGGAGTAATTTTAAGTTGCTAATTGCCTCACAGGCCTCACTAATGCTAACACCGGTAGCTGATTGCGACGTAATCTTTTTGATTCCATACTTGAGTGGCAGTTGGAAGACGCCACGTAGCAGTGCGGTAATATATGCGCTGGAAGTTGATGAGACATCACGATCTGCACAAGGCTGCAAAAGACGGTCCCCGTCATGTAACCTGCGACTACCTAATCCTCACTGTCCACCTGAACTTCTGTTAGCCCCACCTGAGCATGCAAGTCCCCACGGAGCAGTACAACCTCTGTCGAGCACCGTTGATTGAGGTTATAGGTGGAGTTGACAAAAACACAATGATTTTTCCACTGATCGTTTACTATTCTAATATAAACTTCTAGCTTCATAGTACATAAACGACTCTCAGTGGGGATACAGTGGAGTGCTACAGCTTTTTCAAATACAACTGTAAGTAGTTCGGAGATCTATAATAAATGTAAAAGATTACAAGTTGTATAGATTGAAATAATGATTTTTAGTTTCTAAATGATGCATTACCAAAGACTATAAAGGGCAAGTTAACCGTCTCCTATTATAAATATCTTTCCACCTAACATATTATTGCTATTATCATTATTATCGTTTAGATCGTCGTTGAGCGCAGATGTGGACTAATTTCACCTTCATCACAAACCTACACTACTTAAAAAATCACTGAAAACCAGGAAGTACTTGTCAGGTGTTTTTCCCCTATTTGGGACCCATAATTAGGGTGTATCCATAACTCTACTTTGGAACGAACCTCGGGCCTTGGGGTTTTGAGGTCAGCTTCTTGACTATTCAGCCATATAGCCCGGAACTCAGGGACCGCGCCGTCGATGAACATCTACTTCACCGTGATATCGTGAACCTCAATGGCCGTGAATCCTCACAATTGTGGGACATATAGCCAGTATCCGCTAATGAACTTGCGATCAATATTTGTATTATGGGTTTCATAGGGATTCGGAATAATTCTGATCCCTAGTGAAGTCTTAGGATCTTATTGTCAGAGTCCCTGAACTGGGACGAAACACCTGTCCAGTGTCCCTTTATTTTCGATGGACCTTTTATGTTGGTTCGTGACGAAATCTACAATGAATTCATTATTATAATTATTATTAATTATATCTTTGCTCCAATTTTTAGACGTTTCTCTTTTGTCAACTGAAATTTCACGGAGAGACGCGGCCTATCAATATCTGAAAAATAAACATAAACAGTTGAAAAATGTGACACGTCAGTTGCAGCTAGGTAATCTTTTCTATGCCTGTTTTGAAAAAGTGATTTAAAAAGTCGCTCTTTTTAACCTTATCTCGGTTAAAGTTCATATTGTTTGATGCAGCATAATAAGAAGGCCTGTTCTTTTCATCATTTTAAATAAGTATTTTTTTGCAAATAATGACAATAGCTACATTACATGGTTGACTCACTAGTTTTTAAGTAGTGAACATAGCAAGTTTTGTTGTCGGTGTCATATGTGAATTTAAATAAATACTCTGCATTAATTTATGATCCATATTGACTGCCCCAAAATTTAATTATTTTTAGTGTAGATGTCATCGTTACGTACCGATCATGAAAAACCAAATCCATATTGTTAACTGAATTATAATTCTATATATATGAGGGAGATGTAAAAGGGGAGATTTATTGCTCCATGGAAAGACAATATGAAATTACAGCTAATTATATGGTTATTTTACATGACAAATAGTTAACTAGTTTAAGATTTAAAAACTACTTCAGGTGGATAGCATATACTAATAAAAATGAACTAACCTTTCATCTCCGTTATGGTTAAATGTCTTGTTTGCAGATCACGTGGTAAACACTGATTCATAATATGTTTCCTCCCCTAATAAATTTCCACACCTTTCATATACTATAGTACACTATTCAGTGTTTCTATTTTCTAAATACTAATTTCATGCAAATAAATGAACATTTTCAATGTTGGCTATTCTTTGCAGATCTATCTATTGTAACAACTGAGTTACGTGATCGAAAATCAGCCTACGGTAAACTGAAGTCTGACTACAAAGTTATGAAAAGAAAAATGAATGGGTTGACCAGTGGTAATTTCTTTAAAATTCTTTATATTTACTCTTCTTCGCTATGCCCTCTTAAATAAGAATATAAGTATATATTGTAGGAAGCACTTAAAAACTAACTAAACTCATTACTAAAGTTATTATGAATGTAATAGGCGATGATTAGTTGGAAGCCATCGTCTCTGAATGATTCGCTATGGCGATAAGAAAGCTGACTCTCCGTAAACTTACTAACTACAAAGCCACAAAAAAACAGCTACCCAAAACTGTGCATGATAAGAGAGGGGTTGAGAAATATAAGTAAGCGGTGGTGATGACGTCATCATTTGGTTGGATTTTAATAGGCCAAGGAACGAATAATGACTTTAAGTACTTCTTTTGAATGAATAGTTGAGGCTTAATAGTTCGAATTCCTTTCACCTCAGCCATGTGCAGTAAACGAATACGAAGTCTATTGGAAAGATTCGGTAGGATGCTATGAATAATTAATACCAGTAAAAGGTTTGAGGATTGTGGATTAAATCAATTAAAGTATAAGTATATTTCGATAGTTTACACACAATAATAAGTTTTATTATTGGTAATTTTGCTCGAAATATTACCAATAACAAAACTTATCATTGTGTGTAAACTATTGAAATATAATTGTACTTTAATTGCTATGAATAATCTTGCATGCTTTCGTTTTCTCCACTACATGACCACCATCAGCTAAACGTGCAGTAGACGAATACGAAGTCTATTGGAAAGATTCGGTAGGATGCTATGAATAATCTGGCATGCTTTCGTTTTCTCCACTACATGACCACTATCAGCTGAACGTGACAAAATTGAGCTACGGTTTGTTTTTGTCTCTCCTTTACTAAACTGCAATGAAAGGTATTCAGTGACACGTTGGCTAGGCTGTCTAGTAGTACGTCCAACACAACTGTGCAGCTGATGTGGCAAAATTATCTGGCTTATTCTTCGTTTGCGTCCCAATAATTCGTCGGCTGGAGAATGACAAACATAGGTTTGCTGCGTAAAACGTCCTTCGTATACTCGTGGAAAGTCTTTGGAATAAAATCTCACTTGGCAAGTCACCATTAAATTGCAAATAGAGGTTTTTACGTGCAATCATAGTCTCAAGTCTTCTCTCCAATGTTTTCATGTATCTGTTTAAGTAACTACTCGGACAGCCCATCTTCTTTAAGGAGTCATGAAAATATTCAAATCCCTTATGTAAGTGGTCATCCTTGCATATCTTTCTTGCTCTGCTCGTAAGACATTTAACAACATTCCTTGTATTTTTAATGGGCACATTACTAAGGAAGTGTTTGTATTGCCCTGCGAATGTGCTTTTTCTATACATGATTCTCCCAAGTGACCTATCTCCTCGCCTACTTAGCGAGGCGTCCAGAAAATGCAGTTTATTATCCTTCTCCTATTCACAATTAAAAGTAAGCAAAGGGTGGACATTGTTGAATTTCATCAACAATTCGTCCATGTTTACATTCTTACTAATTAAGATAATGTATCATCGACATAACTGTAATACATATCCAACTCCTTGATGATGTCTTTCAATCTGCCCTTTTCAAATTTTACGATAAAGTCAGCTAGGATTGGGCCTAATGCTGAACCCATAGCGATTCCATCTAATTGTTAGTAATATTAATTATTGAAGAAAAAAATGCACATTTATTGTGCATTTAAGTGGTTTTTTGTTTGAGGCTACATAAGGGAATTCCTAAGTAAACCTGCCTTTCGGTGATTTCTTGGCAAATGTAACATACCGCTCTGACAAGTGGTACATCCATGGATAAAATACGTTTATCACTAACATTAGTCTCATGTTTTAGAAATGAAGTCAAAGACATCATTAATTCTATATCGCACAACATCTTTGTGCAAAGGTCCCAGAATCCTCACTATCTACTTTGCTGTTTTGTGCAATGACGAGTTACATACCTAAAACTGGGCAAATAGGAAGACCCGGGCACTTTTGGTATATTGTGAAGGCATGGTGTTGGTCCCTGTTGGTTTCATAGACTCATACATGGCTGACTATATTATTCCTTTTTGATTCAGTTTTTTGGAGAGCATCTGTCACTAGTTTCTCCACCTTTATATTGAGGTCTTTGGAATTACTATGGGATTGGAATTTAGTTTTGTCATTCAGAATGCCTTACATTTTCTCATTGTAATCACCTTTGTCGAATAATACCACCACCACCCTTATCCAGTTTGCCTATAATTAAGCTTTCAATATTTTTAAGTTCTCTTAGAGCTTCTCCGTGTTGCTTAGATAACAGACTATTCACTGAATGTCTGCTACTTTAGTACTGTTGGCAGCTGTTAACTAACGTAGTTTTGAACCTAGGTAGTTCATCATCCGATGCTGGAATTGGGTGAGACGTTTGCGAATACAAATTTTAAAACTGAATATCTGTGTCTAATTGACTAACTTCACGATCATAATCACCAAAATTTAGGACCTATAGATAACGCCCCCAGTTGAGTCATACTAAGCACAACACTGGGAAAATTGTAAACTTATCGGTCCGGAACTGACCTAAATTTCTTTTCAAGATTTTGGCTTTCAAGTCCGTTTTCTATACATTCCTTACGAAATTCCAATTTGACTTCAGTGAGCCTTGTACTAAACTTCAGGAACTCATTAAGTGCTTTGAATGCAATAAGATCCCCACGAGATTTCAAAATATTAAATATTCCCGTAATAAATTTTTTAATTAAGTCTGACGAGATATAATTGAAAACAATATTGTTCGCTTAAATGTGTTTTTCGTAATTTTATCATTGGAATATCTGTTAGGAAGATAACCTGTTCTGCACGGCAGCTGCGTTGCGTTATGATTGATATGCGTAATACGATAGATAAATGACATTGTGTGGACAAGACCATGTGGCCTCTGAATGTTCGCTATTCTTGATACATTTTGTGACTGTACAATAAGTTATCCAAGAATTTGCCCCTAAAACTACCCTCACTACACTTTTTGGGATTTGTCATTGCATGATGGGGTAGATATAATTGAAGACGATAATTGAGATCGTGACAGCGGAATCACCTCTGCAAACCGTTTGTTAGTACTCTGCTGCATAGCTTTAATGCAAATCTCACGAAGACTTTCTGGACTCATGACGCAGCACACTGTCACTTAGTCACTATGTAATACTTTTTATTTGATAAGTACCCAACCATCGTAGGAAGGCATTTCACTCAAGTAATCAAGGTATTTTTTGTGAGAAAAAGTTGAATTAATATCAATCTTTAAAAAGTTCCTTCTGCAGCTTCACATAAAAGCTTGTGTTTAGATCACTTCGATGTTCGATTTGAGTGGCATCCAACTGCTTATATTAATCAACCAGTAGTGTAAAATTTCATGCAATGGTGCTTGTTTTCTAATTTATCATTTACAGAGTCGAATAGAAGACACATTGTTATCTGAATAATTTCAGTTCCCATAGGAGACTGATTAGATTTCACTTCGAACTGTTTCGATTGCAAATCGTGAATTCGTTTACAAATTACGAATAAAAGTGCGTGTTCATGAACAGCTTGCTCGAGAAAATCTCTCTGAGTGATTTTAAAATGTTGTCACTTAACCTCCAGTGAAAAAGAAAGTTTCGTGTGTGTATGTAAAACCTGGATACTATGTTATTATGCAATTCCACATTAATTTGTGTATTACTGAATCTATCATATCAATGGATATGCATATGAATAAATCGTGTTTAGTGTGTTTCACCATCTGATATATCTAATAAGAAATAATGTGGTCGTTAGTTTACTTATTTACTCATTAAAAACTTTCAAACGGAAGTTTTTGCGATTTAGACATGACCGAGAAGAATAAACCCTTATTAACATTCTGTGCAGTCAGTAAGCAATTTTTCTCTTGGCCACAGAAGAAGCTTTTCATAATATTTTGTATTCACTATTTTCTACTGTTACAAAATCTCTACTGATTAGTAAGGGGAGTCCTCATGATTCTCCAGTGTTGATTTATAGAGATTTCATGAATAATTCCCATTCGAACATTAGTAGAGAGAAGACAAGTAGTTCAGCGAAGAGTCTCTTTTCGGCGAATTCATTTCATAGCTGTACAATCGCAAATATATATGGTTATTTTGTGTGTGTGTGTGTGTGTATACATTAAATTTGTCAAACGAAAATACAATTAGTAAGTTCAGATGAATTGGATGTTGATAAGAGGATAGTAACAAAAGTGATGAGTTGTCATAAATGATTGTTAAATAAGAGTTACGTAATGGCATGAATAGTTTGATGAATGAGTTGTGCTCAAAGGGTGTACATGGAAACAAAATAATATACAGAATTCCACAAGGGTTTTAAGTTAGAAAAATAAGCATACAAACAGAAGTAGGGTCAAATCAAACAAACAAAGAAAAGTTAGGTCAAATCAAAGGAGTAGTTACCATGCGAGTGGAAGTGGTTGGATAATTTTCTTTTGTATGCATAGTTCTGGTTCCTCCAACTGGATGGCTAGGGCTTCTGCGATGCAAAGAAGACGGAATCGTACTGTCTTTGGAAGGTTGTTCTTCACTTTGTAGATTACTTTGAAGGAGGCGTTCGTTGAGATGGAATGACCAGTATTGACGAGATGTTCGATTATTGCACTCCTTATATGGCCATTATTTCCTTTCTGTAGCCACGTTGGATAGTGTTCTTTTACCCTTTTAGACAGGATGCGCGTTGAACGACCGATGTACCTGGCTCCACAGCAACAGGTGAACTGATATATACACATAGAACACTATCCGACGTGGCTACAGAAAGGAAATAATGGCCATATAAGGAGTGCAATAATCGAACATCTCGTCAATACTGGTCATTCCATCTCAACGAACGCCTCCTTCAAAGTAATCTACAAAGTGAAGAACAACCTTCCAAAGACAGTACGATTCCGTCTTCTTTGCATCGCAGAAGCCCTAGCCATCCAGTTGGAGGAACCAGAACTATGCATACAAAAGAAAATTATCCAACCACTTCCACTCGCATGGTAACTACTCCTTTGATTTGACCTAACTTTTCTTTGTTTGTTTGATTTGACCCTACTTCTGTTTGTATGCTTATTTTTCTAACTTAAAACCCTTGTGGAATTCTGTATATTATTTTGTTTCCATGTACACCCTTTGAGCACAACTCATTCATCAAACTATTCATGCCATTACGTAACTCTTATTTAACAATCATTTATGACAACTCATCACTTTTGTTACTATCCTCTTATCAACATCCAATTCATCTGAACTTACTAATTGTATTTTCGTTTGACAAATTTAATGTATACACACACACACACACAAAATAACCATATATATTTGCGATTGTACAGCTATGAAATGAATTCGCCGAAAAGAGACTCTTCGCTGAACTACTTGTCTTCTCTCTACTTATAGAGATTTGATTGATTTTAAGCTCGGTCAGAAACTGACATCAGTTAAAGAATCATTGAAAGCCAGAGAGTATGAGACATCTGTTTCGCCCTGAGTTGGGACTCTAGCATTATGCATTTGTCACCTCGTCGAGGATCGAACCCGAATCCTCCAATTTGTGGAGCAAGCCCGTTGACCATCCAGTCAATAGGACGGAATTCTTTGTCTCATGAGTTCTAACTTCTGCCAATTAGTAATATATAGCAACATTGGCTGGCGTTAGCGCTGTTGTACAGACTTAGAATAAAACGAAATAGGTGTCCTCCAAAGCCTCAGGATGGTCGGGGGTGGGTGTCTTGCGCTGCGGGTTGGCCACCCCTCCGTACACCTCTTGAAATGCTCCCATATGACCGAGCGTCTTACATAGCCTCTCCTGAGGAAGTCCTACTCACTGCCTTCACGTGGCGGAGGTGTTTTTCACCAAAGTGAGAGGGCAAAAGCGGATGCCCGGCGCTCTTCACCGGGTTGACTGTCCATTGGATGACAGTCTAGGGGAGATGGCTAAACCCTGATTCCAAACCTCCAACGACTGGCGTATGAAGCTCACCTGAGTTCACCGGCAGACGTATGGACAAAGGGCTTATTGGATGCCCTGGATGACTGGCCCCATTCAAAAAGGCGAATGAACCGGACTCCGGTCACCGGCTGCCAATGGATAGTGAACTCCCTACTCCACTCCTACTGCCTTGTAGGTCACACTTGGTTGTGTAAAGGCTAGAGCTGCACTCTCAAACAAAAGGCCGAGCGATGCTGGGGACATCACTCGTACCCAATTCCCATGAAACTTCATGGTTCATGAAGCCGGCTCATCCTCCCGTAGGAGATAGCCGAAGTAAAGTAAAGTAAAGTAAGTACGCCTTGATTTTCAGTTATTACCTAATTGATCTGAGTTCGTGATGTAACTTCAGACTGTTTAGTTTCCAATAAATCACTGAATCACACGATTCCTTTTGATTTATTTGACTGACTTGGTTGCATGTTTTTGTTGCACATTTATTTCTCCACACTTCTTTTAAATCTCTGTCTCCCTTATCATTACCATCGTCGATTATAGAGTTACGGAAATTGAAGATCGCTCTTATGGATATTAAACGATCGTCTTTGTTCTTTCCTGGTGTTAGACTTATCAAAGATATACTGTGTAGGATTCTAAGTGTTTGTCCTGATCTAGACGGATGATGTTGACAGTGATACGTATTTTTCATTTACTGAAGATAAACAGAAGAAAACATAATCATCATTGACATCTTTCAATCATTTTCTGTTTAAACTTTGTTTCAATTATTTATGGATATGTGACATTATTATTATTTTCATCATCGTGTATATTATATGCCCGTTTCTCTTACTAACTAGATTTACTTGTATTTCGTATTTATGCATTTTATTCAAAGAGTTTTTAAAGTCATTTCTTTCGTTTGTTTTCGGTTAATTTACCTTCGCTTTGTTGTTGCATTCTACAGTTTGAACAAAAGGTCATCAAAATTATTTAAAAAATTTTCCTTTTCTCTCTGGCACTATCTTTTTTCTGTTCATTAGTGTGCAGGCGAAAAAGATAACTAACAAGCAATAACTATTCTGTAAGAACAGATAAAATATTATTTAAAAAATGAAAATCTGCGTTGTAGACACCAGGCAGGTGGCCTCCAGATTACTACTAGTCCATTACTTGCTGTAACAGCTCTGTTATGAGACCCGATGGCTAACCAGGTTGCTACAGCCATGGTAGATAGTCTCGCCATCAGTTAACAAACTAATTCTCTCCTAATTCAGCTTGAGTTGGACTTGACAAGAAAAGGCCTAAATGGGCAGCTAGCGTGGTTATGAACGAGTAGCAATTTACAACTAATTTTCATGATGTTTATTGTGAAGGGATGACCTGATTAGCGATTGGATCTCGTAGCTTAATTGTTTGTCCATCGGACTATTAATTCAGAGGGTGCTTGACTTGAATCCTTCCGTTACCAATATTCTTACTTCACCTTTAATCATCACTCATCCCTTCAGTTATAGTGCGCTATTATTATTATTATTACTATCATTGTCTCATTTAGTTCCTAGAGGAACATAAGGCTTCAGCCGCACGTCCCCATTGCTTTCGGTTCTCCCCCAACATTTTCACCTGGCTTCATGTCTGCCCACATGCTTTCATCTCCTCTTCTCATGACCTCCTCCATGTCACCTTCGCACTGGCTGTCAACTAACTCGCCGCTTCTCATTAGGGTTTCACTCGAGTGATGGCCTAGCGTGTGAAGTCACTTGATGGTTTTCTCAGAGTATGGCCAATCCACCTCCATTTCTTCTTGCATATTTGTTGCACAATTGGTTCCTGGCTGGTTCACTCCCAGAGATCCCTGTCGCTGAACTTTCCTGACCATCCGATCGTGACTACTGAGCGAAGAAAGGTGTTGGTAAAAATGTGTAGTTTGTTTAAAGTGCCCTTCGTGACGCGTCAAGTCTCTCATCCGTATAGTAGGACTGACTTCACATTGGAGTTGAAAATCTGGATCTTATTCCGCATACTGAGTGCTGTTGACCTCCACATAGACTTGAGAGTAATGAAGTTTGTCTTGATTTCCATGTCCTTGCTTTGACATCCTCATCAGTTCCGTCTGTATTTGAAACGATACTTCCCAGGTAGGTAAAGGAGGTTGTTTCTTTCAGGTTATTCCCATTTATGCTGATTGTTGTCTGTTGTTGTTGCTGCTGTTGGTGTTGGCCAGGAATCTTTATCACCTCTGTTTTATCTATGTTCACCTGAAGTCCTATCTTCTTTGGATGCTTCTGCCAACTCGTTGCTTTCCACTTGCATATCTTCCAGTTTGTGGGAAATCAGACATATATCATCGGCGAAGTCCAGATCCTCCAAGTTTTTTTTGTGTGAGTCCATTTTATGCCTGTTTCCTCATTTCCCGTTGTCTTTCGGATTATCCAATCTACTGCAATCAGTAAGATCATTGGCGATAATAGACAGCCTTGCCTCACTCCCGTCCTTACTTCGAAGGCTTCCGTAAGTTTCCCGTTGTGGAATACTTGGCGTGCAGCATTGTCGTATAACTGTTGGATGAGATGTATAATTGTCGATGGGACCCCGTAGTAGCGAAGTAGTTGCCAAATGACCTCTCGATCGACGCTGTCGAAGGCCTTTTCAAAGTCGATGAAGTTGAGATAGAGAGGTGACTGCCATTCCAAGCTTTGTTCAATGATGATTCGTAGAGTGGCGATTTGATCAACACATGATTTGTTTCTCTTGAATCCAGCCTGTTCCGGTCGAAGTTTTTCATCTAGGGCTTGTTTGATTCTCTCCAGAATGATGCGGCTTAGTATTTTGCTTGGAATGGACAGGAGCATAATTCCGCACCAGTTTTTACATTGACTTAAATTTCCTTTCTGTGATAGTTTGAATAAGTATCCTTTCTTCCAATCCTCGGGTACCTTGCCCTCTTTCCACACCTTCTCCAGTAGTGGTGTCATCAAGTCCGCTGTTGTCTCTAGGTCCATTTTCAATGCTTCTGTGGGGATTCTGCCTGGTCCTGCTGCTTTTCCAGATTTTAGTATTTTTATAGCCTTCAGGACTTCTTCTTTCGTCGGAGGGTGTGAATTTCTCCCGAAAGAAATCCGAAACGATAATCCAAACTATAGATTTAACCACACGTAGAGTGACGCGTAAAGTCCAAAATACAGGATATCCTGAAATACGGTACTTTATTACATAAAAATAGATATATAATATACAAACCTCAAAATGTGAGGTGTCTGTGGCTAAATGCCGTCAAATGCACAACCACTGTGCAGTCAATAAGTAAAAACAGCAATGCTGTGTCAAGGTCGATCCACGCGTCGGTTCAAACGGCCCGCGAATGCCAAGCAAAGAATAAACAAATATGAACAAACAACTTTCAATAGTAAAGCATACACTATAGGGTAAATGCAGCAAATAATGTTTAAGGAGAAGAAAAATAAGAACTATACATTAATAGAATGATAATAGAACAAGTAATTTAACTGCAGTTGTAAGCAAATGTCATTGTTATAAATTAACATATAAAATCATACTACTTACTAATGGCAAGTAGTATAATGTTGAACAAAGGAAAGATTGAGAATGAACAAGTAGGAAAGGAATTAACACCGCCCCCTCAAAACCAGCCTGGTTTTCCCTACTCTACCTGCTAGTAAGACACAGAAATGGTACAATTTACTCTCGCCACATCTGCATCCACTATCCAGCTATATATCCTACAAAGTGCTTATCTCTCCTTAATACCTTCTAATAGGCAAACCTTACGCACATCTCGGTTGACTATACCCCTCGGTGTCTTGATATCCACTTTTCTGATATACCCATCACAGCTTGCCGTAACACCTGTAATTATTCCCATTGACCAACGATTGCGAGGTGAAGGCTCCGCAGCCACTAGTACTAGGTCTCCCACTTGTAAGTTTCGATGTCGTCGAACGCGATTGTAAGGTCGTCAAGTACTCCCGCTTCCACCGTCTCCAAAACGTATCAGCGAGGAGTTGCCCTTGTTTCCATCGTCTTGTGCCTCGTTTTAAAGCATAGGCTGCACAAAAAGGTGATGAGGTAGCACCGAAGGGATGTACGTTTAATTCATACAGGCTCGGTGGTAAGTCCAGTCTACCCTCAGAATACCATAAGAAACTAAAGGCACTTTTATCCTTGACAGGTAAGTGAACCTGAAGAAACATCTCCTCAATATCTGCTGACAAGGCTATCCGATGTTTTTTAAATCTCAATAGTACCCCAGCCAAGTCATTCATCAGATCAGGTCCCGAATACGGACAATCGTTCAAGGATATTCCCTTACATTTAAAGGCACAATCGAAAACCACTCTAATTTTACCAGGCTTGCGGGGATTCATAACTGGGTGGTGAGGGATAACTCTACGTTTCTTGGAGAAGTCGTCAGGAACGCGACTAATATAACCCTTCAACTCATGGTCTGTTAGTATTTGATTGTAGGACTTCAATAGGCTTTCGTCCTTTTTTAGTCTCTTCTGAAGACTGTCCAGCCTGCGTTCTGCCTCAAACTTATTAGGCGGTAATCTACGCCAGTCCTCTTTCCAAGTCAATGGAACTTCATAATGTCCGTTCCGCAATCTTATCTCCCTATCGGTTGCCTTCAGAACCCCTTTATCTATTTCAGAACTGGACCTTTCGCATGAGTGCTTGTCCTGAAATTCAGCTTCAATCATTCGCAAAGGCTTGTTCTCTACTGATTCACTTTCCTCTAAGCAGAAGATAGAGGTTGCTTCTTTATATTCGTCTCCTGAACCCAATAAATACCAACCAAAAACTGACAAAGATGCAAACGGTTGGTTGGATTTCCCTATACGCTGCTCCAGCACCCAGTGTGCTTCAGGTACATTAGTCCCAATTAGTAGACTGACCTGTTTACATTCGACGTCTAGAAAGGGAATTTCTGCCAGGTGAGGCCATTTTTTCACCTGTTCGTTTGAAGGAGTCTTAGGTCTCTTTACAGGTAAGCTTTCCACGGTGTAGGCACTCTTGACCCTCGTCTTGTAATCTCCCGTTAAGGATTCAACTTCGAAATCAACCTTAGATGAATTCTGAGAAGTAGTTCCACAGAAAGATGTTACCTGCATCAATGTATTAACCCCTTCCAGTCCTATTTGGCGGCAACATGACTCAGCAGTAGTGTAGCATCTGAACCATTGTCAAGAAAGGCATAGGTATCTAGAAATCCTTTAGGACCTAAGATACGAATCGGCACATATCCTAAAAAGGAAGTTCCGGATTCCGTGCTAGAGTAGTTGACAGTCTTGCATGCTGAATTATCTTCATTGTGTAGAAGTTTATGATGACGTCTAGTGCATCCTACTATATCGCAACCTCTTGCTGCACGACAAGTGTCAGCTCGGTGATTACATTTCAAACAGTTGAAGCACACCTTATGCCGCATTGACACTGCTAGTCTCTCTTTGTGACTCATCGACAAAAAGCGTTGACAGTCCCATAAGTCGTGATCTGTGAAGCAAACTATGCACGACTTCTGGGCTCGTGACTTCACGACATTAACACTGTGCGAAGGCATAGCTCTGGACATTTTATCGTTGGACCCTACTTCGTTGTTGTTCCTATTCCCATTAGCTATCTGGCCGTAACAGCTTGTAGCCAAGGACAGTTGCCTTTCGAGGAATTCTTTGAGGTAACGAAAGCTAGGTTCAGCAAACTGTAAACCATCGTTTACCAATTCTGCCCACTTCCATCGTAGGTGCCGAGGGAGACGTTGAACAATGCACTTAAGGTTGGTAGAGCAGTCCAAGTCTGCCATGTGATTCATCTGAGATAAGGCTATCTCACAATTGGTCATCTGTCTCAACAACCGTTGTAGCCCAACTATATCTTCAGGTTGCAGCTGTGGGCCTGACAGTAATTCGGAGAGGAAGGCATCTGAAACTGCATGAGGTTGGCCAAATTGACTTCGTAAAATCCCCATGGCTTTCCTATAGCCTACCTCAGAGGGCAGTAGAATGCAATGCTCTATGGCCTCCTTGGCTATACCAACACAATTGTGTATAAGATGCATTAACCGTAGGTTGTCATCATTAGTTTGTTCTCCTATGAACATGTTAAAGCATCTTATAAACTTCAAGAACTTAGTCGGTGTACCATCGAACTTATCCATCTCAATTTGAGGCATTCT